ACCTAGTGCTCCCTTTTGTTCATTTTTCTCACATTGTCTTTTTTGCTTTCTCTAACCCCCTGTTTACTTTTGCAGGCTAGCCCAATTTATTTTTATTATTTCATTTACTTTTATTTTCTTTTTTCTATTTTATTTTATTTCAATTTTCTTTTATTATTTTTATTGTTATTATTATTAATATTGTTATTATTATTTTTATTAATAAAAAATTCAAAAATATTTTATTATTATTTTCACACTTATTTATTTACTTTCTTTATAAAACAAAAAGAACAAAAAACATTTTCTTAAACAAATTAATTTTTTTTCTTAAATAATAAATATTTAGACTTAGGTTTAATTATTATATTATTTTCTTTTAAATTAAAATTAATTTAGAACTTAGGTTTCTTTTAATTAATTAATTTTCATCTTTATTTTATTAACTTAAAATCTTTTTCATAAAAACCCTAAAAAATCATTTTTAACTTAATTTCTTTTCTTAATTAGTTTAGGTTTAATTTTACTTATTTTTAATTAATCATTATCTTTAATTAGGTTAAAATCCCTTTCATGAAAACCAAACAAAAATTATTCCTTTTTCCATTTATCCTTGTACATTATTTATTCAATTTTTGTATATTATTCAATATGGTTGTAATAGATAATTAGGTTTAATTTTCTTACAAAATCCTCATTTGTAAATTTGTACACCCCCCTCCCCTAATGATGTAATAGCTTAGTAATTTTACTTTCCGCAATTTATCGCTTTATATAAATGCTAGTAATTAGGGTTTGTATGAAAAGATAAAATCAACAAGTAGCAAACCCTAATTCAAGATGAACAATACATGTAAATCTAACACACCTGCACACTTACACCCTTAGGGTAATTCCACTTTGTTGCCTTACAAAAATGGTCATGTTATGCATGTGGGATATCTTAGCAAAAAATAATCAAAAATACAAGATCATAGTCCCTCGATGACGCTATCAAATATTTCCTTTTAAATGATCTTAGTCTCTCAAAGAGAAAATGCTAAGATATCTCATAACATTGCTATCATGGCTATACGATGACCCATGCATGTCCCTTTATATCCAAAGATAAGGCTTCTTACCAATCAATGGTAAGATAGAAATATCAAAGGAAGGAAGAAATGAACAAAGACTTTTGAGTAGGTCGATTGTTCCTAGTTGCTTGTTCATTTTCAAATCAAACAACCTTGCTTATTTTAAAAACAAACACCAAACACTTTCAGAAAACACTTTCAAAACATTTTCCAAACATGAATTATTTTTAAAAGCTCAACACTTTGTATATGTTCTTATGAACGAGAACTATTACAAAGTTTGCCTAAACGAAGGCGCCTTTTCAAAATACTTTCAAAAACCACACAAAGCACATTTTTAAACAAAAGCAAGTGATCTAGCAAGCAACTAAGAGCCCATTGATAACTATAGATGAAAAGGGTACTAACACCTTCCCTTTTCATAATCTACCCCCTGAACTCAAGAAATAATCTCAAAGGTCTTTCCTGTTCCTTTCAGACTTTCCTTTTGGATAAAAGAAAAGTCAGTGGCGACTCTTGCTAACCGCAACATTTGCGATAAAACGCAAAACACCCAAGTCAGTTCTCCCACCGTATCACAAAAGGTAACTAGTCTTTTGTTTCTGTTATTGAATCAATATTCTTATCAACATATGAAACCCCCTCATCTCCAAAACCTCCTGAAGATCCATCACCTCAAACCCTTGATGACTTTGACCTAGAAATTGACACCACAATACCTACAAACAATCCTCTAATTAATCCACCTTCTACCCAATTTGATACGACTCAGCCAGAACTTGCACAAGTTCTTTCTGATATTGATTAATTTGATCCATTGTTTGAAGCTCCCCAAACCGAAAATCCAAATATTGTCTCTGATACCACTATAACATCACAAGACTTCTCCCTCCCAGAAATTGCACCCCCTATAATTCAACGCCACCCAACTCTCCTATAATTCTTTCTGACTCTCCCACTCCCACTGACTACTCAGAAGATCCCCTCAGAACCATAATTAATCTAGAAGCTTGGGAAAATCTTGTCACAACTTCTCAGAAAATAGCCAATCCAAAACCAACACTAAAACTATCAAAATCAAATGTTGGTAAATCTCTACTAGTTTTTAAAACAGAAATACAAGAACGGGTTAACTCCTTGAAGCAAGCTTGCATGGAGAATCTTAACCCAGCTGCTTCTAATTCTCACTATAATCAGTTCAGGAAATGATTTAATTCTGAATCTATGAAGTTGAAGGAACTAAGATATGAAATTGCTCAACAGAACTTCTGCAATCACCTGAAAATCTTTAAGGATCAAGGTCTATGACACTGAGTACAGAAACCCCTTCTTCTTTTGGACAACACTTCTTCGGAAGCCTCTCAGGAATCAGAATGTAATGAACCATCTCCTGAACCTCAACCTCTTCCTCTGGACATGTTTAAAGATAAAGGTAAGACAATTGAAGAATCTCCTGAGCAAGAATCTACTACATTGATTTATGAGAATATGGGTTCTTCTATTGAAACAATCTCCTCTTCTCTTATGTTGAAAACTCTGTAGGAGTTGAAGAAAGAAAAAACAGATGTTAAGGAAAGGCTAGACAAACAGGATAAGACGAACAAAGAAATTAAGGGTATGCTTGGGAAACAATAAGATCAAAAGTCTATTGGAAGTCTTGTTCACACGACTTCCACCTCCTCAACCTTAGTTCTGATATATTGTTTTGTTTCTGCTATGTTTGATTCTTATTTAAAAACTTATGTTTATCTACTCCTATCTGTATGGATCCACTTTAAATGCAAAATCCATTTTATCATCTTTACGTGTTTTTATTGCTATTTGATTTTTGACAAAAAGAGGGAGACCGTAAGATATTTTGAATATAACAGTGTCGAGACTTAGTATCAAATTTTTTGAATATCATAACCTTTGTTTCATCTTTTGAAAGAAAATAGGAAAAATCTCTTGAAACTAACGTCTCTCGAATGGACTTATCAGAACTTCCATCACAAATCTTTGATTAGAACATCTTCAGAGAAGTATTTTTTCTTTATTTGAGTATTCAACTCAGGGGGGGACTCTAACTCATTATGCTCTTACGTAATCTATCAAAATATATAAGTTTTTGTCATCATAAAAAAGGGGGAGTTTGTTAGAACATAATTTGGTTCTACATCTCAGTAATAGTTTTGATGATAACAAATACATGATATATAAAGAACAAATATGCTCTCTAATAATGTATTTATATATGCAAAGAAGTTATGATAAAAAGTGCATATAAGATGATGAGATATTTAATTTTTTAAGCTCTGATTAGACGCAACGTACAGACTTAGAAGCAAATTCGTGTAACACGCTCAATAGAAGAAGTTCTTAAGCACCAACGTTGCAAGTAAAATTTTGATACTCTGATAAGTGAAGTTATGGAAGAACAAAAGAAGTCTCAACTCATTCATTTATACAAAAGTTCTAAATATTCGACACTTAAGCTCAAGCTATACTCTGATAAGTATATACTCTGAAAAGTGAAAAGAAAGCTTCAACGTGTTTGTCTCATCCAAAGTTATAATCATATGAATATTAAGAAACTCTGAGGATCTAAAGTATCAATGATAATATTTTCTTCAACGTGATCGTACGTCCCTTTAATGGTGTTGCAGACAAGTAAGCCATGACTTTCGAGTGTAATAAGAAAGTCAAGATAATTCCACCTTAAAGACCTCATGTTCCGACGAGCTGATGTGGTGAAAAGAATTATGGGAGACCCTTAACATGTGTAAATTAACACGAGCATATATGCTTACACCATGGGAACTCTCAGAGGGGAACCTATCTCAAGGATATGGAATGCGGCTAAGCTCAAGCGCTACTAGAGCTAAGTCGCTTTCTTATGTTGAATTTAAAATTCTTATGGAAACTTTCTACAATGTAAACTTTTGCATTACAAGTTTAATAAATGATTATTTCATCTTGGTTTATTTTACATTAATATTTGTGTGAATGACATGTAAAGCTCAAACCCTCTAGGATGACTTTAACCCTTGAAGCAAAGGAAATGTTACACTAATAATTAAATCTAAGGGAGCCATAAACCTCTAGTGAAAATATGGATTACAAACTAAAGACATCAAACCTCTAACACAAAATTTATTGACACTAAAAAACATTATAAACCTTGAACGCGTAGGTGGTGCACAAGTCTAATTTCAATTAGTAGCTAGCCACTCTAGTGCGAGAGCAGTAATTCCACTCGCGTCGACCCAAAACCAAGTTTCCACTTGGGGGTAGGGTAGTGGATTGAGACCTCTGGAGCTCAATCCCTAGAGACGTCCAAGGAATCAATTGAAACGGCAACCCCGAAGGGGCTGGTAAGAGACATGTATAATTAACATCATATGAAGCTAGATTATCCAAGTTTTCTTCTAATTTGATAAGGGTTTCATTCGAATCCCTCAAGGTATTTTTCATGTCCTCCACGATTTTGCAAACCAACACGAATGTGTTATACAATACGAGGACAAAGAAAAAAGAATCTATGAAGCTAGATTATCATCATATGGGACAAGTTTTCCATCTACAACTTCCTACTCAACATGGATCTACTCCCTTGAAATTTTTACCTCAAGATGATAAAGCTCCACATTACTCGAAGCATTATTGAAGGAAGCTTGCATAATAGTGTAGTCAGTCTCAACGGCTTGTACATATTTCTCATGTAAGGAATATTTTCATCTTCAGCTGCGCTCAACTATCCATTCACTTTCTCCAAATCTTCTTTTTATTTGAGAAGAGTCTCCTTCGAATCCATCAAGGCATTTTCCATGTCCTCCACGATTTTGTGAGTAGAGTTCAAACACTCATTAACCTTGGCCAGAGCAGTCTCAATGTCAATCAAAGATATTTACACTTTACTCAAAGCCTTCTCCTTCTTGCTTAACCAGCATTACAAGTTCTTTCACCCTCTTATCCCTAGCAGAAAAAGAGTCATTCTCTTCATCAACATCCTTCAAAGACCCCACACATACATAAATATATCTATTAACTTGTTTAGACTTTCAGTAATTCGTAGTGATATTATTTATTTTTTTGATTTGATTAACTTTGTTTACTCAAAAATCAATAACACTAAACAATAATGAAACCTAGTGTCATTAATAAAGTTCTTGAGTCATGAGGATTAGAACATTACATTACTTTATATGCTTTTTTTCTTTACCTTTCTTGAGACAAAGAAAAGAGACAAATAGAAAGTGAAAATAGTGTTGTCACAAGTCATTAAATTTTAAGTTATGGCTCATTAGAGAGAAGCAAAGAGAAAAAAAAGTAACATAAAAGAGAAGACAAAAGAAAATGGGAGTAGAAAATATGAGATGAGAAATAAGTACACAATGACAATATAACATGACTCAAAATAACTTAAACAACATTTTCATTAATCTTTGCACCAATAAAACTTCTAAGAAATAACCAACCAAGATACCTTTTTCTTAATCTTCTTTTCCTTAATAGTATCCAAACTAGGCTTCCACCCTTTCCCAGACAATTGCCTACTCAAATTCAAATACTCTCCTCTCTCTTCCATCATTTCCGGCAAAACCTCACAAAACTCAAACCTCTCTTCTCCATTTATCTCCAAACTTTTCTCAACCTCTCCAATAGCCTCATTCCTTTTCTTCAAAAACTTTACAAGCCAAGGAACAAAGCCTTGAGAGCACATGAGATAATTACTAGAATCAAGAGACGAATTAACCATGGAAAGAATCCTACGACAATCTTCCGCCTTTAATCCAACCGGCTTCCCTGGCTTCACCGGAACCATGACATACTTTTTGTTCATCTCAAGATTCTTGTCAGCCGGTAACGGTGTTGGTTTTTTCTGCTTCAAAGCTGAATGAAACTCGACAACTACATGTTTCGGATGATCTAACATGAGTTCTGCTACTGTTATTGGTTGATCAAGCTCTTGAATTGAACCATCATAGTGAATGATTTTGATGGTAGAAGAAAATGAGAAATGGTTTCCCATTAGAGAGAGTTGGTGGGTGAAGATGTGAAAAGAGAGGTGTGAGAAAGAAGGTAAATATGTATGGAATGGGAAGTGATGTTTGTTAAACCGCTCCATCTTGTGAAGAATATAATGGTGGAATTAGTAGTTTGATTTGGTTCGGTTGTTGCCTCTGACATCAGTTACAACTTACAACTACAACAAGTACACTACTTAACAATATTAGACTTTGGAATAGACTAGGTCGAATGACCCTTAAATATAACCAGACAAATATGGTTAAATGATTGACTATAACTAAGCATTTCATTTTACTTACAATCTCCTAGATCTACTATTACAAAATTTAAAAGAATCAATTTGTAAAATTATAAAAATTATGAGAGGAAAAATTGTAATTCTAAAATAAATTTGAAGAGCAATTGAAAATTTAATAAAATATATATATATATATATATATATATATATATATATATATATATATATATATATATATATATATATATATATATATATATATATATATATATATATATATATATAGACCGACTTGCAAAATTTAAGAGGTTAATAATAATAAATTTGACATGCAGTTATATAGATGAGGAGAAAATTCCGTGAAAGTGTTTTGAAATTAAATAAAAAATTAACAATTTTATTTTTTCCATAGAAATTGAATATCTTGCGCATGTAATTACGGTGATTAATCTTTTTGTGTGTCTAATATTAAATTTGAATTTAAAATCTTTTATTAAGATAAAAGAGATTATTTATCATATCATTCAAATGTTCCGAATAAATATATATAAACTTCAATTTTTACGAGACAATTTTTGTTATCACTTTAAACCCGGCCTTATATTTAACTTTTGATAATAATTCATAAAATCTCCTTATTTTAATAATTTTCTATATTTTTTATTTAAATAAATAATTTTGATCATTTTTTGAAATTCCTCGTTCAAAAACACTTTAAAACTAGATTTGATGGACAAGAAATATTCACCACCTAATTATCTGCCGTGTTATTGCACATGTTGATATTTGTTTTGATTTAAGTTTGGGTTGATGTTTTATTATAATTTTGCCAAGTCTCTTTCTAGGGTAAGTATTGCCAAGTCTATTTACCTAAGAGGAAAAGAATTCAATGGGATCAGTTCAACTACCACTTCATTAACTAATTTAATTAGAGTGGCATGTAGTGATTGGTTGGTAAAACTTATATTGAACTCTCCAATTTATAATATTTTTTAAGGATAATATTCATTATATTAGTCATTTCGTGTATTTGTCTCCTATTAATTTGCTCATGACCTTTTCATAAACCAGAAAGTGGGCACAAAATGTATAGGCATTCACAACTTGGACACTCAAGCACTGCACCGATCTATTAATCTAAAGTACCATGATATGAACGTTGGAGTTAATTTGTTCACCTTAACTTCATGGAAGGGTACTGTAGTGTAGACGATTTCTATGGCAAAATTCATTGTAATTTAATATTTCTTGAGAAATTTTTGCCGTCGTAGTTGATAATAATAATTATAAGATGTGCATTTAGTTTTTGATAGTTAGGTGGCGTTACTCTAAGAAAAAAGAAGTGAAAAACTACTACCATTGCACGGATAAAATTATGAAAAATTACACTAGTTTAAAATTTTGGCACAAGTTAGCAAGACTCTAATTTCACTTTTATTTGCTTTTGAGTTTGCAAACCCAATGTAATCTTGCTAACATTTGAAGCAACCGAAGAATGATGACAATCATGGCAAATTATTAGGGTCATAAGGGCATGTCCCATGTCATTCCGGAAATCCGGTTCTTATAGGATTACAATAATGACTATATTAAGTATTCAACAACTAAGATTTTTGATGGTGGAGGAAATATTTCTTTGGTTCTTTTTTAATTGTCATATTTTGATCTTTTATACATATTAAAAAAATTAATTATTATTATTATGTTTTAGACTACGGTTTTCCTTTTGTTTATAATACTTTTAATTTTTTATTATTTTAACTTATTTTTCTCTCTTTATAATAAATGATTAAGGATAATTTTGACAAAACTAACACTAACACTACTTTAAAATTTTAAAGCGACAATTAAAAAGAAATATAAAATTTTCACAAAAATGATAATTAAAAATGAACGGATGGAGTAATATTTTTTTTAGAAAAATTAATTTAACTAGTAATTTTATATCTCTTCATATAACGTTAACAATTTTCATTATTCAATACACTTTTTTCTCATGATATGATTTTATTAAGAATTATTTTCTCTAGTTCTTTTTAAAAGAAACACTTTATCTTTTTAGATTCATTGAATAATTAATATATTTATTTTTTAAATAGATTAAATATATATATATATATATATATATATTAGTTAATCAATGAATTTAAAAAGGTGAAATGTTTTTTATAAAAAAAAACAAAGGGAATATAAGATGATGTTAGAAAGATAATTATTATGATACATTCTTTCATTTTGTATTTGAATTTTGAGTTATTTATTTGCCATTCTCGCCATTATTTTTTCACTTTCTTCTTGTTCATGACACAAATCAATCTTAACATTCATAAAAACTCAAACATGGTTACTTCATGTTGTCAACATTGGTTTATTTCTTCCACGTGTTTATGATCCATTATTTTTTAAAAAAAATGGTGCTTCATAGTAGAACTAGAATTGATCGTAAAATGAGGAGACAAAGCTTGTTGTGGTGGTCTTGATTTTTCGATACAGAAAAGAGAGGATTGACCTGCAAGATTAGTACTTCAACACTCAAGTTAGTAAGAAAGTAAAAACTATTGTGTGAATGAGAATAATTTGAATACTTGAGAAATGGTGCAATTTCCATTTTAAATAGGAGAAGTGGTTGGCATTTGAAAGCGTGAAGTGAGGCGTGGATTGCGATCAACCGTCAGATTGATCTGGACGGCCAGTATAACTTATTTCGATGGAATCGTCTGTTTCTAGAGAGGGGAAGGTCCATCTATTCTATGCGCTTCTATCGTTTCCACTTTACCATTGGGCCTTTAATTTATGGGCTTTGTAGACGGTCCAAAACAGTTGCCCTCCAAGTCCTTATTTCTATTTTGCAGGATATTGTAAAAAATCTTTGTATGTGTAAGTATATATAGATAAAGTGGTAGCAAGTGTTAAAAATAAAAGTATTGATCCCACAAAATCAGAGTGAATAATGATAACTTAAAGGCAAGGAAGTTTTAACAGAGTTAGAGAGAGTTGAGCAAGGATCCATTTAACGAGTTTCACCTAGTGTATTAGTGTGATGAGATTTGTCGTGACAGATGAGGTCAGAACGTGACCTAGTGGTGTATTCCTATAAAAACATAATAACTACAACTAATATTTGTGGAACAAATTCTAAAGTTTCACAATAGCATAAATGCATATCTTTGGTAAGTTCTGATTTCCCATATGGCTCAGTTCTTTATCCCTAAAGTAACTATATGAAAAATATTCCTATTTACTTTTTTATCCATATTTTTCATGATTTTCATTTATCAAAGGATTCCTCAACATTAATAAATATTTTCCTATTCCTAAGATGATCACCAAAAGAAATAAATATATAACATTAAAACATATGACAAAATATGCCACTAGAATCACAACACATCATACAAAAAAATTTCTTTGTATTAAACTTCACATTTCTCAACATAAAGAGTTTAACTCATAGTGAATAGAAGAAATGCACTAAAATAGGGTCTCATTATTAACATATCTAACAACTATGAAAAAAATATAAATCTAAGAATGAAACTTCTACTTCTTCCAGTCTTCAACTAACAATAGGCGAGTTATGTCAAGCATGATTGAGTGATATTCTTCAAGAATGATAAGACGGATTGTTAGAGTATGGTTCAACCTTCCTTCTTTTTTGAGTGGATATTTTTTCTTAGTGTTTTTCAATCTATGAACTCCTTCCTTATTAAGTCCCAACGTCGGTCTTTCTTTAGCCTCCTTTGCTTCTAGGGTTGCTCATAGACTTTAGATCCTAGGCCTTATGAGCATCCATTAATTTGGCCCTTTTTTAGTACACGTATTAGGATAGTACACAATGCCGAGAAGAGATAACATGTCTCATGATAAACCTATTATGCTGGGTGGCTCCTTTAGTGCTCAGTTGGAGCTTTTCATAATTTGTCCTCTAGTACTCATCCATGTCCGTTTAGTTTTTCTAGCTCAACCTTAATTTTATTCTTTAAGACTCTTCCATGTCATCCATGTTTCTAAGAGTAAAACCCATACCTACATCTTCTAGCTCAAGGTTTGTTGGATAGTGATCATGAATTCTCGACGTGACAGAAATTGTCACCAAAGCTACTTCTACACATGAAAAAAAAAACAAAAAAAAAGCACATAATGTGCTATATACTAATTAAACTAAATTCAAATAAACATACTTAAATAACACTAGTGTGTTGAACAAGTGAATTTGAGCCCAAGAGTGGGAGAGGTGAACTGTGATATTTAAAATTCGCGATTACTTTTATATTTTTCTCGATTAAGACTGTGTTAGTAGTTTCTTAGAAATGAGTAGCAACGAAACCAAAACAGTAAATTAAATAGCACAAATTAAAAGGAATGTGTTAGAGATATTACACCAAAGATTTATACAGGTTTGACCGAATGTTAGGTTAGTCCTGTCCCAAGAGATCTTCTTGAGAGTTCAGCCATAAACTTTGAACTTTTGAAGGTTATGCCTACATACTTTTATACAAGATGATCTTGAGATTTTTATAGGATTATCCTCTACCAAATATAGCTTTTACCATAGGTTAAGCTAACAAACCTTCTTAAATATTTTCAGGTTGATCTCAATCGGTAACAGAACTTTTTATGGCTAAGCTCGATAAACAAAATAAAGATTTTATTATTGGTTTATCTCATGAACCAAACTAAATCTTCTCAAAAACATCACACTCTCAAGAAATAAATAAACAACACGGCCACTTACAAAATCTTCCTCACAAACATGGTTTTCC